AGGACAGACATATCTCCAGTTGAGAGGCCTAGCTATGGGTGTGGCATGTTCACCAGACATTGCCAACTTATATGGTGCTCATTTTGAGGAGAAATTTTTCAATGAAGAAGATCGAGACAACTATCTATACTATGGTAGATTTATCGATGATTGTCTTGGCATAGTAATTGCCTCAAATGCAGAGGAAGCTTTGGGCTATGCTAATCAAATTAAATCTGATAACTGTGAAATTCTGTGGTCAGTGAAGGAATGGAGTACCCCATTTCTGGATCTACTGGTATATATCGATCCTGTAACTAACACTATCGAACATATGCCATATTGCAAGGCACTGAACCACTATGAAAGAATCCCATGGGCATCCCACCATCCAGTTAATGTGAAAAGAGGCACTTTTCTGGGTGAGATGTCTAGACTAGCCACACTAAGTAGTCATTGTCAACATTACTTAGATGCATGTGTAGACCTAGCTAAGCTATACATCGCTAGGGGCTATCCAGTCAAATTGGTGCAAATATGGATAAGAGAAAACACCTCCATAAGATGGCAAAACAGGCTTAGTGAACCTGATGCTGGCTCTAGAGGGCTTATGGTGCTTAAATCTTATTTTAATCCAGCTTGGGATAATTTCAATGTCCATGAACTGTGGGACATAATCAGGAAGACCTGGGTAACACACTATGACAAGGTTACATGGTGTAACACCCCAGATTGTGCAAATGTTGGACATGGCTGGAAGTGGTTGACTCTGGGAAGACCAGAGCCTGACCTGCCAGACAAGATCCAAGGCAAGAGAGTTGTCTGGGCCCACTACCAAAAGGTAGATGGTACTGCTTCGTACTGGTCAATTGACTCAGAAGCGACCAAGAGGCTAAGGACAGATGAGTACAAGGCTAAGGTATGGGGTGACAGGCTGCCTCAGGAGGAGGATAAGTATGATCCCAAGCCAAAGTCTGTTATCAGATGTACTGATCCTCCAAGTCCTTCTGTCAAAAGATTTCAGGATGTTAAAGGACCACTCTCCTGGGTTGTGGAGGAAGAGAAAGCTCCTGTCCTGGGTTGGAAGCGAAGGCTTCTTTTTGACTTGCACAAATCTGACTTCCTTGATTTTAATCTCCTAGTGAGTAAGAAAAGAGTCTCTAACTTAAGAGATCTTACCAACTCCTGGAGAAAAAGTGTCCTAGCAGCACATTCAGAGGCACATGGTGACCTACCTGAAGACATGGATACATAGGGATGCTAATCTGAAAGGGTATGGGGTGGTATAAAGTTGAAAGGCCTTGGGGGATCAAAACCCAAACAACCCACCCCACCCAACTACCCAAACACCCAACCACCCAATACAACCACCCAACTCAACCAAACAGTTGTTACTATATCGGGTTATAATATAAACATTTATATACATTATATAAACTATATATTACTTCTATTTTCGGATTAGCCTTGGTACATGCTTATTAAGCATTTGATATGCTTATATAAGGATGTTGGGATGTTTCTAACGAAACATCCCACTGTTTCTGTGCACAGACCTCTCCCTAAAGTATATATACCTTAAGGGCAAAAGGCTGATGAGTCCTCAGACGAAAGTGCATGTATTCCTTGTGGGATAAGGCTCTTCCTTTTGCTCTGTCATTTTCTCATCTGCAACTTCTAAAACACTTGATTTCTAAAACACGCAATTACTACTTTTGCAACCCAACCCATATCCAGCCTTCTAGGACTCCGGGTTCTTGGATGCCGTTTGTCTCGATGTCGTTTGCTAGTCTGCAGAGTAGTTTCACAATGTCTAGTCTCTCTTTGTCATTTGGTTTTTTGGAGGCCCATCTGGTGGCTATTTTTTTGTAGAGTTCAGTTGGTATTCCGTTTAGGCCTGGGGCTTTACCGTTGGGTGATTGTCTCAGAGCCGTGTTTATGTCTTCGCAGCTGATGGGTTTATCTAGGTCCTGGGCTTCCTGGTCGGTGGATTGAGTCATAGTGGGCAGCAGCAATTTCAGCCATTTCCTCTGGGTCAGATGTGAAGGTCAGTGTGGTGTGGTTCGCTCTTTGGATTTCCATTATTGTGTCTCTCGGTTTCTTCTTGTTTCCCCACTGGCACCAGTATTTATTGATTGATTCTGCTAGGAGGCGTTTGTTGGCTTTGGAGTGGGCTTTTATTTTCTTGTTTCTTAACCTTTCTACTTCACTAATTCTTTCTGTTAGCACTTGGATGCGCTTTTGGTCCACTAGTAGTTTGACTTGGTTTTGGGGGGACAGGTTGGTTGTGATTTTGTCTCTTCTTTGCGTTAGTTTTCTGATTGTCGAGTTCATTTTTCCAGCTTTTATTTTTTCTAGTTTTTTTGCTAGGGTGGTTAGCGATTGGCTGAATGTGAGGAAGGTCTGTTGGGTATTGGTTTTGTGGTGGTTATCTAAGTGAGCTAGGGCTTCGTTGCCTAGTTTCTTGACTTCTACTAAGAAGATTTTGTCGCTTAGGAGGAATTTGGGCATTGCCCAGCGGCCGCGTCCAATTGCTGGGGTGTTGGAGTTGTATAGGCTCGCCAGGATTAGTTGGTGGTCAGCTGTGGGGATTTCGGGGTTCATGATGTTCCATGTGAAGGCATTATTGTACATATCATCTGATACATAGATTCTGTCGATTCTAGACATGTGCATTCCTGTTGTGTGGCCGAAAGTGAAGTTCTGGGCTGGGGTCGGGTTGGCTTTCCTCCAGCTGTCAGTAAGTTGGTGGTAGCTGATGAGGTTCTGGAAGGCTTCGGTTGCTACTGCTGTGTCGGGGCGTTGGGGGAGTCAATCCAGTGCATCCTCTACCATGTTGAAGTCGCCTAGTAGTATGTCAATTCTTACATGTGTTGTGAGGTGTTTCAGTTCACTCCAGAAATCCGCATTCTCTTGGCCAGAGGAGGTCATGTTAGGTGCGTAGATTGCTAGGATATTTATTTGGTTTTCTGGTGACCATTCTAGGTTTAGAAGTGCTGCGCGGCCTGGTACTAGGTTCTCAGTGAGGGTTGGTTCGTTTTTGATGAAGTCTTTGTTTAGTATTATTGCCACACCGCCCGCTCGTGAGTGGGTCGGGTTGTAGGAGTGTATTATTTGGTGGGTTTGTTTGTATCTCTCATTTAGGTAGTTTTTTTGGGGCTCATCTGTGTGCGTTTCTGACAGGCAAAGGATGGCTAGTTTCTCTTTTTTCATCTTGTTCATGACTAGATTCCATTTGTGCTTGGTATTTTGGCTGTTGGCGCCTTTGATGTTAAGGGCGCTGTAAGGGGGCAAGGGATCTACCACCCTAACGAGAAAGAGAGGGGGCCACAGAGTTGGTAGTGCTCAGGGGAGGTTCGGATGATGAGGAAGGGGGGGGGAAATGGTCCGGGTGCGATGTGATAAAAATGATAAATCTCGTAAATCTCACTGATAATCAAACTAATGGGAACTCTGTCCCTGCACTATGTCTTGAGCCTCTTTGGCTTCGTATTCGCTGCTCTGGGCGCTGGTAAGCTTCTTGCTAAAACTTCATGTTCGTTGGGGAGCACCTCTCTCTGTTTGGGGGAGTCCTTTTTGTAAATACAGGAAAGAGGGTAACTATAAATATGAAAGAAATACGTGGAAATCCGAATGATCCGACGGGTTTAGGACGGAAACAGATCCACAAGGAACACTTAAGAAAAAAGCAATATCAAAGAAATATTGACGTTGTTAAGGAAATAAGGAACCATGGCGATCGGAACAACCGCTGAACCAAATTCGTCGCTCGTAACATTGTTCGACTCGTGTTAACAAGGGCTTTCCAACGATACCAAATTCGTCCGGATCGGTGGAGAATTGATGGAGATACAGAGGAAGCGGTGGAATATGCGCGTGACAGTTGCCCAATTTGGAAACTGATGGTTGTCCGTGGTCGGGAATGGCTTGAAAAAATCGAAAAAAATATGGAAACCGTGGAAATAGTATATGGAACAGTGGTAGATGTGTTTCGGGAGTGGGGTACTTGACATGGGTGGTAGAATCGCGATAATCGGCTTGTTTGCGTGGTACCGGCTGTGCCCGCCTACAGCGCCTATTTTTATCTGTCCTGTTTTCTGGGTTGGGTTTCTACCACCCCTGAGGCAGAGTGGGTGTCTGTTTTTTCTGGGTATTGTGTCATGGGGTGTTTGGTCACTTCTGGGGGGGATTTCGGGTGTTTCTTTGTTTATATTGGGCACCACAGTTCGCTTTATACTCATCCCTGTGCCCACCGTGGCCGAGGCACAGGGGTGAGGCAGGATTGTCTTTGCGGCCTCTTCACCTCCTTGCATGAGTGAAGGGGGCCTCGTGGTTTTGTGCTGATATGCCAACCAGCACTATCAGGTGGCTCCGGGTGCACCACTCTCCCCGCCAGGTGCACCTTTTGTGCACTTAGAGGGGCCGGTTCTGTGTATTTATTAGTGTGTGTGTTCATTGGGTGTTATAGTCAGTTTGGAAACTTGACTAGGTTGTCGCAGTATTGGGGTTGTTAGTTATATATTGGGATGTTGCGGTTTTTGCTAGGGTGGGGGGTTACATGATGTATCTACCTCTCACACCGGAAGGGTGTCTGCCGTGTGGGCCCCTAAGCCTTGCTGGTCTGCCTCTGTAGTTTCCGCGTCCCATCCCCCTGCCTCTGTGGTGTGTGTGGGTTTCTTCTCTCACCGTGCTCTGGTGGCTGCTTAGCTCCATGGCCAGGGAAATGTCTGTGTTGGCTCTCACGGCGTCATCTGGTTTGTCTGGGTTGGTGATCTCTTTCCAGAAGGGGAGTTCCGTGAGTGGGCACTGGAGTGTTGAGTGGTCGCGGCCTTTGCAGCATCTACATGGCTTGGGGGGTTCCTTTTGGCCCCTTTCACGATGGCTGGGTGGTACCAGACTGTGGCTTCTGCTGCTTCAATCCAGTGGCCATGCTTCACGATGTCTTTGGGGTGTGGGGACTTGACTAGGAATGTCCAGTGGGTTGCAGTGGTGCCATGGGTGGTGACTGTCAGAGGTCTTACTCATGCTGAGTTGATTATTGTTAGATGTTTGTAGTTGTCGGGGACATTTTCGACAAGGTATTTCCCAATTTTCGAGGAGGGGCGGTTCAGGGTGGTTTTTAGGCACGTTTGGATGGCCGTGCAGTCTCTGGCAGTGGCTGCAAATGCCCAGTTTCCGATCCAGTCGGAGGTGAACTCGGAGGCTGGGTGTGCCACAAAGCTGAATGCTTTGGAGAGCCAGAATTGGTGGTAGAGGAGCGTTGCAGCATCGCAGAGTGTCAAGCCATCAATCATGATACCCCAGGAGAGGGGGTCGTCTCCCTGGGCATCAATCGCATTGGCAGCTGGTATGGTGCTAAGTGTTTCTGCTGAGTCTGGGAACGCTCTTTTAATGAAGGTGGAGGCATGGTCTTTTGCCTCTTGCATTTTCGTGAGGGAGAACACCATGTAGAGAGGGATAATGATAACTGTGTGTTCGTTGGCTTGGTTCCAAGCTTTGCAGGCTTCATCGGTTACGTTCAGGTGGAGGTGTGGGCTGTGCATACCAAGGACCTTATAGTCGAAGTCGGCTGGGAGTGGGCGGGCATTGTAGCTGACTTCGGTGTCATCGGGCGTGTCAAAAGGGCCAGATGCTGGGGTGATCTTCGCTTTGTGGGTTTGTTGGGGCTCGGGTGTGGCTGAGAATTCTTTCTCTGTGACCTGGGGTTGGGATGGTTGGATTTCCTCTGTCAGGCTGCTACTGTCTGTTATAAAAATGGGGCCTAATTGGCCCATTTCTATAGCGTTCGGGTGCAGGAGGGGGCCGTGACATTGAGAAGATGTTACAATTAATGTAACAGGTGTTGTAACAAAGGTGTTTACAGTAACATTGACATCGGGTTTTTGGGTAGTAATTGTTGGTTAGGTTGTTCATATATATACATATCACGTGACTTTGTACTGTACAGAGCCCATAAGAGGCTAGAAATGGGAAATTCCCATTTCCATAACACTGTCCATGTTTATGCCCAGGGTTGTAGGGGGGGTTTGGGTCGCGGGGACTCTGATAGCGGGTTTGGCATTAGGCTCAGGTCAGGTAGGGCCATTCTGCGTTCTTTTCTAGGGGGGTTGGGGTGTCCGAGGTGGAGTTTCCTCGGTTACGTTTATTACCCACACTGGTTATGGGGGGGTGGTGTGGTTAGGGTGCTGAAGTCCGGGCGTGTCAGGGTACCGAGCTGCTCGGACTCTAAGTCAAGGGATCCCAAGCCTTCGCTGGAGCTGAGGCCGAGGGGGACAGGATCAGTCTCAATGGGGGAACCCGGCAAAGCGGATTGCGATAGGGATTCCAGCTGAGCAGCGAGGGGAAGTGAGGTCATATCATTGTATATACTATGTACAACATACCTGAGCAGCGAGGGGAAGTGAGAGAAGAAAGTTATCTTCCTCACTCGCTACCCAGGGAATGATAAAGTCAGTATACCCGGCGAAGCGGGGCCGCTCTGCAGAAGGAAATATAACAAATGTCTGTGCCAGTCCAGGGATGATGATCAGGCTGTGCAGGTATGGGGCAGGTGTGTCATCAGTTGTGTGTAAGCAGTCCAGACTTAACCAGGCTGTACTCTGACATCACCCCCCCCTTATGCCACTACGTCTCGGAGTGGCTGAGTTTGCACATGGGGCAGGAGCGGAAGGGTGGTGCTGATGGAATTCTGTGATGAGGTCTGGCGCATTTTGGGTATCACGGTCAGGTATCCAGCTATTTTCGGAACTGGGGTAGCCCTTCCACTGGACAAGGTAATGGAGTCGGCGACGGATATACTTAGAGTCGAGGATTTTCTCCACTTCATACTCTTCGCTCCCTTCAATGATGGTGGGACTCGGTTCTGGGTGTGCAGGGTGTTCTGCTATCTCATCTGGTTGGTACTTACGAACATCTGAGATTGACACAACAGGGTGCATTCGGTATCCCTTGGGGAGCTGGAGTTTCAGTGCAGCTCATGAGACTATCTTCAGGATTTTGAAGGGGCCTAACCATTTGTGGTCTAGTTTCTTGGTCGGCCAATTGGTTGGGTAGTTACGTGCGCTGAGCCACACTTTCTCTCCTTCATGGTATTCAGGTGCTTCGCCTCGTTTCCTATCATAGTACTTCAACATCTCCTTGGCTGCGTGTGCTAGGGCTGCCTTTGCCTCCTCTTGCATTTGTGCCATCCGTGATGCAAAGTCTCCAGCTGCCTCCACCATTGAAGTCTTGGGGGGTTCTATCCCCATGCATGGGTGTTGACCTGTGTCAAGCTCAAATGGTGTGTGGCGAGTGGCCGAGTGGATGTGGTTGTTGTAGCTAAACTCAGCGATAGGTAGCCAGTCTGCCCAGTCATCCTGCCTGTGGTTCACAAAGACCCGGAGGTAGGTTTCAATCTCTTGGTTGACTCATTCTGTTTGCCCATCTGTTTGGGGGTGGTAGGCAGTGGATGGAGTGGGTTTAATACCTAGGAGTTTGCTTAACTCCCAAGAGAACTTAGAGATGAAAGTTGTTCCTCTGTCACTGATGACTTCATCTGGGAGGCCGTGGTGTCGCCAGACATGCTCGAGGAAAAGGCAGGCTACACCTGCAGAGTCCATCTGAGTAGTGGTGGGTATGGCATGTATCCTTTTGGACAGACGATCAACCACTACCATGATTGCATCGAACCCTCGTGATAAGGGGAGCTCTCCTATGACATCTACGGAGACAACCTGCCATCGCCGATCTGGTACCTTGTTTGGCATAAGCTTCCCAGTCCTTTGAGCAGGGAAGGATTTCACCCATTGGCAAGTGTCACATCCAGATATGTACTTGGCAACATAACGAGAGAGCCCTGGCCACCAGTAGTTCCAAGATACAAGCTCTAATGTCTTCCATCGGCCAGGGTGTCCAGCTACTGGGGTGTCATGGTGGGCACGAACTACATCATGGCGGAGAAGAGGGTCCTGGGGGACATAGATCCTCCCTTGATAGAGGATAAGCCCTTCATGTAGCTCCCACCCCGAAGGTGCTTCACAACCAGATTCTAACTCACGAGCCACACTTGCCACAGAGCCCTCAATGCTCTTGCATTCCCTCATCCACTGCAGCAGGTCTTCCTCTCCTGTTGGATGCGAAATAGCTGCTGTAGCTCAAATGCGAAAGAGATCGGGGCATAGCAGTGTGACCTCGGAGTTGTCCTCTTCTCCTTGTGGGTGGTCCACTCGTCGTGACAGGGCATCTGCTTTCTGCATGAGTCTTCCTGGTCTGTGTGTGAGTGTGAAGTCAAAGCGAGAGAGATGTAGTGACCATCGGGCTTGGCGTCGGTTGAGTTTCTGGGCTGACCAGAAATAGGAGAGGTTTCGATGGTCAGTGAAGACTTCGAACGGTTCTGCTGCTCCTTCCAGGAAATGCCTCCACTCATCCAAAGCGCGGACTATTGCAAGCATCTCTTTGTCATGGATCTGATAGTTCCACTCAACATCATTCAGGCTTCGGGACATAAACCCTACTGGGTGGTACTGCTGGTCTTCTTGAAGCTGAGAGAGAACAGCTCCAGTCGCAAAGTTAGAGGCATCACACTCTAGTCGGAAGTGCCCCTCATCTGAAGGGAAGACAAGGACAGGGGCTGAGGTGACAGCCTTTTTTAAGGCGTCAAACCCTTCTTGTTCTTCTCTGCCCCATCTCCAAGGTCTGGACTTCCGCATCAGTGCATTCAGGGGTCTAGCAATTTCAGAGAAGTCGCAGATGAACTTCCGGTAGAAGTTCACAAATCTGAGGAAGGATTGGACATCTTTGACTCGTTTTGGAACTGGCCAGTTCGTGACACCTTTGATCTTTACCGGGTCCATCTCTACCTGATTCTCTATCACCAGCCCTAGATACTCTATCTGGGTCTGCTCAAACTTGCATTTCTCTGGTTTGAGGAAGAGTTTGTGTCTTCGCAGAGTGTCAGGGCCCGGCCCTCATTCCGCAATGGGCCCAGGGGGGTCCTCCTAGTCGCTGGGGTATCTAGTCCCAGTCCAAGATCTTCGAACTCACTGAGGGGGCTAGCCCCAGCCTTCACAGGAAATGAGTTGAGAAGAAGGGTAACCTTCTCAACCTCCTGTGAAGCCACTACAAATGGGAGTCGGGAACTATACAGTTTTCAGCTCTTTGCCGACTTTCCATAATTAGCACCCCCCCATGGGAAGATTCTGGGCGAGCTGCTTGCCCAGAAAGTTCCCACGGTTGTGGCTGTGATGGTTTCTGGGCGAGTAACTCGCCCAGAACGTTCCCACGGGTCTGCATGCATGCGGGATTGTGGAACAGTGAAGGGAAAAATAGGAGAAAATGGGGGGAGGGTACCTGAGGGTGTGTGGGGTCAGGGGCTGTGCCCTGACACAGAGTGGCTAGCACTTCCAGGGTAATCTGACGATGTTCTTCAAGAGTTGACGTGAAGAGTAGGATGTCATCCATATAACAAATGGCAACACCTCTGTCAATAAACTCTCGGAGAATGTCGTTCATCATCGTCTGGAAGGTTGCAGGGGAGTTACAGAGGCCAAAGAACATGACTAGGGGCTCAAACAGTCCTCGGTTGGTGCAAAAGGCAGCCTTCCACTCGTGGCCTTCTGTCAGGGCACACCCGCCTGACCTGGCCCCACCTAACCCGGTGCCCCACCATCCGCTCCTCCCGACTTCCCCCCTCTTCCCCTTTTTCCCTTCCCTTTCTTCTTCCCCTTCTTTTCTATTCTCTTTCCCCTTTATTCCTTTCTTATCACACGGACGACTTCCTTTGTATCAATGTACCACTGACCTGGCTCCAGTGTAACGCGCCCAAACCCGGACACACCGGATGACCCCCCGCATACCGGATGCTCCTAGGACCTCTTACAGAGGTACCTGGACGGAGGTGGCTGTGTGCTGGGGTGACGTGGCGCTTCCCATGTGGCCTTCAACCACATGTATATAAACACAGCCTAAGTGGGAACTGAGAAGCAACCTTCTTCTCACATTTCCCACTTTAGGCAAGTAGCTTACACTTCCCTTGATAATAACAATAACACATTTCCCACTTTAGTCTCAGTGGCCAGGGACCCTTGTCTGCTTCGGGCCCATTGTTACACGCGCCCGTGTCATACCTACCGGACCCTCAGCCTCGGGCGATACACCCGGGCGCTCTCGACCCCGGGTCGGTCCCTGACACCTTCCTTAATCCGGACATTGTTGAAACCCCATCTGAGGTCCAAGACAGAGAAGTACTTTGAGCCTCGAAGACACTTGAGCACATCTGACACAAGTGGGAGTGGGTATGAGTTCTTCACTGTGATTTCATTCAGCTTTCGGTAGTCTTGAACAAGTCGGAGGGATCTGTCCTTCTTTTTAACAAAAAACACTGGGGCCCCCATTGGGGATTTAGACGGCCTGATGCGGCCATTGGCAAGGTTTTCTTGCAGAAACTCATCAAGTTCCTTTTGTTTGTTTCAGGACAAAGGGAAGGTGCGTGACCATGGGAGATCAGCCCCAGGTAGGATATCTATTGCATGATCCCACGGCTTCCACGGAGGTAATGCACTGAATGCTTCCTTTGAAAAGATGTCTTCATAGAGGCAGTAGGCCTCAGGGATCACCCCTTCTGGGGGAGGCTTCTCATCCTGCCGGGCCCTCTCTGCAAATTGCTGAGAAGGGGTAGTGGTGGCCCGAATCTCCAGCACGCTGCGCGTCGACATCATGTGGACCGTGAAGACTTCGTCTCCGGGTTCTACCGATTCTACTCTCGTGGGTACAACTCTCTGACACTCAGGTGGACATCGTGTCATCGTTACCTTCTGTCGAACCCAATCCACCTCTGGGTTGTGAAGGAGAAGCCATGGGTGGCCAACAATGACTGTCTGTTGGCCAAGGTTCGCGACAGCAAGTTTACAACGCTCAGAGTGGTCCCCAAAACCGAGGATAACGTCGACTTCTTCCGTGATGGGACCGTTCTCATTCTGAGTCCCATCAATGTTGTGAACGGGGATGGGTGAAGCTAGGGGGGTCGTTGGCAGCTGGTGTTTGCGGACGAATTCCTTGCTGACGAACATTCCCGTGGCCCCTGAATTGAGTAACGCAGACGTCGACACAGCGGCGAGCGAAGTAGCAGACCTGAGTGAGATCAGAATGTTCATCGAGCGTGGGGTCTTCCCCGTTGTCTTTCGTGCATCGGCTCCTTTTATTTTCACATTCTTCTTTCTTTGTGTGACTTTAGTAATCTTTCTCGCCTTTGCCTTGTTTACAGGTTCGATTTCGACCTTCATACACAGATATTTACAGTTTTTTGAGGCGTTTACAGGCGAGTCGCCCAGTCGGGGTGCAGCTTTCACCGACTGGCATTTCAAAAACCCTCTTCGCGGGGTTCTTCCCCTTCCACAGCACTCCCGTTCTCAACAAGCTGGTCCTTGATCAGCTGGGTTATCGTGCAAAGGTCCTCTGGGGATAAGGACAAGGGTCGTGGGTCTCCTGGTTGTCTTATTGGCGTGGGTTCATCAACCACGCAGATTCTTTGTGTGGCCACCAAGGGGCAGTTGCGTGTGATGTGGCCTGGTTGCCCACAGCTGTAGCAGATGCCGTTTCATGGGTTTCAGCGAGGTTGTCGGGTTCGGTCGAGTTCCATGGGCTGAGGGCTAGTTGACGAGGAAGATGGGCTCGGCGTCTGCGTGTTGGGTGGGTGCGTCGTGTTCTGGTGAGTGACCACGGTACTGTTTCGTTGGGGTTGAGCCCGCATCTGGTGAGGGGACGCCCCAAAGGCACGTCCTTGGCGCATCTGGGCTTGGAAGTGATCGAACCTTCTGTGCTGACTGTCCAGGAGCAGGGCCCGTTGCTTCCACTCTTCCCAGTTCGTTGGGAATGGGTGGGATCCGTAGATCGATTCTCGAAGGTGATGGGTAATGGCTCGTTGGAACTTGTCGATTAACCCGGCGTCTCCGAGCCCGGACACTGGTCCATACAGCTCAAAGAGCTGGATGACTGTCTCAACGGGATTGGGCCCTTGTCTTATGTCCGACAGCTTCTGCATCACAGTCGCTGCCCGGTTCGGGTCGGCAAACATGTCCTTCAACTCTTGGAGGAAGTTCTCAAGTGTTGGGATCGCAGTGTTAGGGGAGAGGTATGCGTTAATCTTCTGGGAGGCCCACGAGGCTGCCGTCCCCTCTTTCATATGCGATAGGACGAACAAGATCTGTTGTTGATCGTCGGGATACTCGGCATGGCGGAGCGACAGGTACAAGCGGCATTGTGCTAAGAAATCTTCTAGTTTCTCTCGGTCACCATTAAAGGGCAATGGGGTAGCGACTTTGGGAGGCCTCGATGTGGGGAGAGGAGGTGGTTGATTAACCTGAGCGGCTTGGGCACTGAGCAGCGCTTGGACCAACTGGGTGAGTTGTTGGATTTGCTCCTGAGCAGACATCGTGGTGTTTGATGCAGACTCAGGAAGTAGGTTGAAACTTTCTTCTGATGTCAGGGTACCGAGCTGCTCAGACTCTAAGTCGAGGGATCCCGAGCCTTCGCTGGAGCTGAGGCCGAGGGGGACAGGATCAGTCTCAATGGGGGAACCCGGCAAAGCGGATTGCGATAGGGATTCCAGCTGAGCAGCGAGGGGAAGTGAGAGAAGAAAGTTATCTTCCTCACTCGCTACCCAGGGAATGATAAAGTCAGTATACCCGGCGAAGCGGGGCCACTCTGCAGAAGGAAATATAACAAATGTCTGTGCCAGTCTGGGGATGATGATCAGGCTGTGCGGGTATGGGGCAGGTGTGTCATCAGTTGTGTGTAAGCAGTCCGGACTTAACCGGGCTGTACTCTGACAGGGCAGCATTGGGGCTTACAGGGTCGGTGGTTCTCGTGCTACTTAAGTGGTCTTTGGGGCACATGGTGTCGTTTGGTGGGTCGTTTGCCCTTTCGTCTGCTGTACAGTTTTGGGGGTATGGCCGTAAGTTTTCTCTTCTTTTTTTTTTTTTTTTAAATTTAAATTTTAATTTTTCGGTTATATGTGCACATTTGTTTTCGTTGTTTCTCAGGGAGGGGGGTGTTTTGGGTGGCTTAGACTGCTGGGAGGTTTTCCTAGGCTTCTACCGCCCCGTTTGGCGAACGGGGCCCTAGCAGCTCACTTGGGTACAGTGAGGGTGGCCCTGCTGGTGCAGGGTCGGCAGGTTGGGGACTTGTTTGCCTGGCTAGCCTCTCTCCCCGGTACTGGCAGTCGCCCCTCATTTCGTTTAGGTTTCGTGTGTTTCTTAGGTTCCTAGTTTAACGACTTTGCGGTCCACTTAATTATTTTCTAACATTGTGCAGTGCGTGTCCACGAAGCGGAGACGGCTGGGTTCGAGTCTGGCCATGTCCCCTTTCTTGAACAACGATGTGTAGATATCCATCCTGGGGTGGATGAAAGAAAATGTGGGATAATCTCCGCACAGGTGATAGCATTTCCTCTTCTTCAACCTTCTTCACATTCTCCTTGAGACTATCATCGACCAGGATGGAAACCTTCCAGAGTGTGAGGGTGTCTGCAGGAATGTGCGGGCTTCTTCTCCTCCTTGATGGCTTTTTTGAGGGTACCGACAGACTCTGTACTCGCAATTTTGACCGGAAAGATGTGGCTCGCGTCATCTTCATAAATAAGACAGTTCAGTTCGAGGGTAGGATGATCTAATCGTGGCACTAAAGACGAGGCTGAATGAGAAAATAGGTCACAGACAGAGAAAGCTCCGCGACTATCACTCACCAACACCAACACACGGGGACTGAATAATGATGTGTAGGTCTTGATCATCAGGTTGATCCGGAAAAAGGCGGGACAATCTTTTCACAGGCAATAGTGCTGGTTTGTTTTCAAGTTCAACATTCGCATCGAAACCGTCATCGACTGGGATGGAAACCTTCCAGAGTGCGAGGTCATTTGCGTCGACGTGTTGGAAAGCGACCGTCTTCTGCTCCTTGATGGCTATCTTGAGGATGCCGACAGTCGCTGTCTTCGAAATTGCCACCGGAAACACTTGGCTAGCATCATCGCCAAGTAGCCAGCAGTTGAGATGGAGCGTGACAGACATGGATTATTGGCAAGTCCGAATGATCGTACAACCACGCGTTCAAGAAAGGTTTCCCAACGCGATTGCGCCTGCGTCTATGTTTACTTATATACCACAAGCGTGAGTAACTTCCCGAAGCACAAGGTTAATATTGTTCGTGGGTATTTCCGTTGCTTACGCGCTGCTTCTTTCGCTGTTCAGTCTGGTTTTGACTTTTCACACCCAAGGCGCCGAACCTCGGCCTCCTTGTATAGCCTCATATCTGCTGTGTATTCGGTCGAACGGGTTTCTCGATGGGTAGCATTTTTGTTGACATTTCATAATTAGATGTTTGGCGCAAACTCCCGTAAGCTGTTCAAGTCCTGATCCCATTGTCTGTTGTCGCGACCCTCGTCACCCCAGACGGCGACGACTCGCCTCCAGGCAATTAAAATTTACCTGCCTCTTGCCTGGCACCGTCATTCTCTTATTAGCACCTAATTCGCACCTTTCACACTCCCAAAGAGTCTCACCATGTCGCGGTGCGAATCCTCTCCCACTCAGACCCTCTTTGGTGCGTATAGACATCACCCAATTCCCCAGTGGACGCCGTTTGATCGCCCATTTCTATTTTCCAGGATCCTTGACCACCCAGTTTCATTCTGTGTCTACATCATTTACCACAATCATTAGCACCGCTCCTGACATCACTTCCACGTTCCTGTCCACATCAACGTCTTGCACCTCCGTGGGAGCAAGTCCATTTGGTGCATTCACTACCGCATCTTGTCAAGTCTTCACTGTCACGAGCTCGTCAGTGATACCAGGCGCGTGAAGGATTTATCTATTTCTGTGTGACCCTCATCTTTTCAATTCCAGGTGCTACTACAACACTCGTTGATCCCATTCCCTTTACTCTCACTTTCACTCAGATAACTGCCTTCCCCACCTCTACCCTTTACGGTATTTCATGTGTTACGACACAAATTGCAACAACGGATACCACCGCATCCCACCCAAATTCCTCTTCATCCCCAGCCTTAAGCCCAATAGGTTCTTCGACAACGTCCACCGGATCTCTGGCCACTTCTTCCTTTTCGACGCTTTTCGGAGTGTCTGGATCCTTAACGTACCTGTTGTCAGTCCCCCCGCCTTCTGTCTACACCACTACAACAGCTGTCGCCATTGGCTCGTCTACCATTATCTCAGTCATCACAACATCATCAACTCCTCCCGCGTCGACAATATTCAGTGACTCTTCAGGCTTCAAGACTCGCAGGGATTCTGAAGGCTTAATCGGTGGCGTGATTGGTGGCGTCCTGGCAGTCTGTATTTTATTGGGCATCGTCATTCTATCCAGAAGGAGGAAAAAAAAGGCGAAGGAGCCGCATGATGATGCGTTTGGTCACACGAAAGGTCCCTCAAGTCGGCTCTCGAGGCCAGGACTTGAGTGTGAATTCGATGATGACGAAGTTATCAGGGCAGCCGTATCACAACGGCACTCTCTTCCACATCTGGCGAGTGTATTGTCATTGAACCACCCATTCTGTTCTGACTTCTCCCAGAACGACCAAGGTAGTAGGGTCTCGCATGGACCCTACACCAGCGAGTTTGACAACATGGACTACTTTTTGGCGAGCCCCTATTCAACGCACGATTATTCGTCTTCATATCAAAACGTCTCTCCGCTGTCAACTCCTCTCATATCATATCCACCATCCACGCCCACGGATCCCAATCCATCTCTACATCACCATGCAGCATCCGTGCCTTTATTGCAGACTCATATCACTTTATCTCCCGATGTTCCTACTGTGCTGCCATCGCCTGCGCATGAATCAGTGTCCTCCGGCCTTCATCATCGTCGGCGATCCTCCCTTGCTCCAATGATTCCTGCACGCTCCCCAACCGAAGGTGACTCGAGTTCCCATAGCATGTTAGACGAGTCAATACGGCGACGCCGAGAAACTTCTCTCTCATCAATCGATATTGGCGGTCATTCTAGCGCGCGGGACACACTCCAGTCGTCCAGTCGGTTAATGATAATTAATCTTAGTGAAGGAGAGAGATTGGAAGATTATTCGTAGATCTAATTTGTACTTTCATCCTAACTAACTATTGAAGGATATAAAGGGTTTGAAATTGTACACCACAATCCGTTCCAAGTTAACATGTTGGAACCATCAGCGGCTCGGAAGTCGTTGCCGTGGTCTAGCTTAGTTCATTGTTGCACCCTAGCGCAAAACTGGTCTGGAATCTGTGGTTGCGTCGAACCCTTATCGCTGACGCCGACCTCCATCTTGCCTGTAGAGAAGTGTTATTGGTAAGCTTAGAGTACCCGGATTCATGCGTCCCAATAATAATCCGTTTTGTCAAGCGCATCACACACCTTGGGATGAACTCGAAGCCATAAGGTGGCTCCGGGCTGCCCGATTCCGTACATATTCTGCTGCTATTATCTCAATGCATGAGGAGGTCGAAAGGAGCTGTTTGAGCGTTTCAAGGGGATGGACATCCAGGCTCCGGAACAAGTTGGCGTATTGTTGGGAAGAGCCCCTTCTATATACGACATGGAAGACGGTGAGGCAAACGGTACCATAGGTTTGGCGTTCATGTATGTTAGCTCTTCATTGTGAAAAAAAGTTTCCTTCCCTTTCTTGATCGATGCATGGCTGAGATTAGATATCAGTCATTTATTTATCGAAATCTAGCTCCATGTCTCATTGTCGCGACCCCTCAACCCAAACTTATTGCTTAGCTTGTGCTCGCACTGATTGTTGCAGCTTGGTTGTGATGCTAGACACTGCTCGTGAAGATTTACTCGCATATTCTCTCGGTCTACGGCATCTGTATCCGTACATCCACCGAGAACCCCGAATGACTCGGGCCGCGCTTGCAGCCAACACCAGAAATTCATCAATTCGCATCATACTGAATGCACCTCTCGTCAACTGCGGTAGGATTGTTTCACAACAGTGTCTCTCCTACACAAACATAGAGAATCAGTCCTTATTCGACCTCGGGTATCCGGCTCACTCACCCAACGCAGATCTTGCCAGAGAGCATCCTACCGCTACGGTCTGTTGAACAGCCAAGGCGCCTTCCAGCGAGGGATTCACTTCCTGCGCCCATAATTAGTCAACCGGGCTTGTAACAACAAAGAGCTGCCAACCATGATATCGAGCCCCACAAGCAGACCAGTTTCCCAAACAGCTTCACAGATATAATGACCTTCACGAAATGTTAGCCCACCTCGAACCTCGAAACAGGCGTAGAGCTCAATTTATGGACCAATGACTCATAAAGGGGATGACTTACTGGCGTTCCAGTGCTGGGCGCAACGGTAGGATCTAAGGCGTCAACATCGAAACTCAAGTGGATGGGAAGATCTCGGTTGGGACAGACGTGGTCCAGGGCCATCTCAATAACCTTGCTTATCCCATATTTGTCAACTGCATGCATGCTGAATGCCTTTACAGCATAATCCTTTAGAATCTTCTTTTCCCCCGCGTCAACATCTCGAAGTCCGATGTAGCATAGTCGATTCGGGGGGAGGAAGGGCCCATTGAGCCAAGGGAACAAAGGATCGTCGCCATTACCGGGAAGGTTAAGAAGGAATGACACAGGCATGCCATGCAAATTCCCAGAATGGGTGGTCTCGACCGTGTTGAGGTCCGCATGCGCGTCTATCCATATGACACAGGCATCGGGATACTTGCTGCAACGATCACAACACAAACGAGAATGATTCAGGGGCGCAGGTGAAGTGTCAAAGGACCACCTGCCTCACCTCAGCGTGCCAGAGATTGTGCCAAGCGCCTTTAAGCAAGGTCATGAATGAAGTGTCGACTCGAGACTAGATTAGGAAAGCGGGAAGCTTACCAAGCTATGATCGCCTCCGATCGTCAACGGAAGCTGACCTGCCTTTGCGTGTCCACTCACGGTCTTTGATATCGCCTCAGCGACACTTGAAACAAGCCTCGGGCGCTTAACGATACCAATGGGGGGGTCATCCTGTACTGTGATGTCCTCAAACTGGTGGTGCCCGTCGAAAATGACGTTCCACCCGAGCTCCTGAAGTTGATCAGGTAGTCCTGAGTTGACGAGGTGGATGGGACCTTGATCAACGCCAGGGCGCGGTTGGCCGCCACTAAAGGGGCAGCCTATGACCTGTGTTACGGAGCAACTGAAGGTCAGCAGAGAATATGGTCACGTTTAAGAAATGCACACACTCACCGCGACAGTCATGGGTTCAGCGAGGAACTTGCACTTGTTCGCCATGAGATGGGTGTAGAAGCTGATGGGTGATAAGCCAAACCTTGAGCCTTGAGATTTTATATAGCTCTGGCATTGATGCGATCCAAAAACGTCAAGCAGGGGTGCGTGGTTAAGTCACTGGAACAACTCGGGTGACTTGATCACTCGGTGGGTTGTCTCATTGCCGGAGTCTCGTGAAAGCATTGGGAGATACCGATGGATCGATGGATTTGTAGAGGCGTTAGGTAAGACAACTGACTGTGCTCAGGGACTCCATCAGAAAATGGAAAGCGGCCACGGAAAATGCCGAAAAAGTCACTACTGCACAGCATTTTCCTCAGACGCCTCGTTGGAAACTCACCCGCTCTTAATTTTCTTCCATCTTCCGGGAACCCTTTCCGGCTCGTTCAGTCTAGGAGGCCCCCTTGGAATTCGTGAAAACTCTTCTCCATTGTTGCTCCGCTTTTCAATTCCTGGTCGTCAGATGGATACGGCGAGTCCACTCTCGTTGTCACCCCCACCGATCCAGCCAGCACAAGCATCTGCTACTATTCGAAGGCATCACACCATCTCTACCGCTACAAGAAGCTTGCGCGCGTCTGGGAAGGCGGTCATCAGTGAAGAGCCTCAGGAGTGGAATGAAGGTGATGAAGAGGAAGAATGGGCAGCGCCCCTGGCTCAAACCGCCCCCATCGGTGCGGTTGGAGAGCAAAAAGGCCTTCATCGACAAGCATCATTGCCAGCTGGGTACACGAGAGGCATGGATTTTATGCCATACTGTGTCACGCATAACTGACAATCATTTCAGAGTTGCGCCATGTCCGCTCCTCGGCTCACGTCGGCAACCGCGTCAATAGTCTGTCTGCTATAACAGCAGAGCACGTTGATGAAGAAGGCGCTGACGAGGGGGATTGGGAGCAGGAGATTCCCTGGAACAGGGAAGAAGACGAGCAGATTCACACTTCCCCGCCAGCTGCCCGCGTTTCTCGACCCGTTGTGCAACGGGGACAAACGATGAATGGCCTTTCCCCATCGCCTATCAGTTCAACATTTACACTGCCCCATCCTAATTCCCCACCACCCTCAGCGGGCGCAAATGTTCGTCGTCACCAAAGTCTTACCTATGGTGCTGCGAACAGCGGTACAGGTCACAGGCTTGTCCGCGCTGCAACTGGAAGTAGGCGGGCTGGAAGAGTGCATGAAGCCCTTGCTGTTCCTCGCACCGCCAGTCCTGTCGAGGATGACGACGAAACCTCGGCCCCTTCCAGTCCAGCTCGTTGGGCAGATGCTGGAGGAGGATACAATAGTCCGTCTAAGCATGTATGGAAAGGGAAAGAGGATCCCATCGGCGAACTCTCGAAGGCCCTTGGTGCATTAGAGATGCAGACCCAGGACTCGCGTCATGGCGATCAGGCAGGCTCCCAGTTTCAGATCCTTCACAGTACGTCTACGTCCACCCCACCTTCCTCTACCCCTCCCCGATTTGTGCAGTCGCCAGGGATCGGTCCTAGCCAGGACCTCCCACGACCCGCATATACCCAGCCATATTCGACTCCAGCCCTTCATCTCGCTACCAGTGGCCAGAATCAGATAAGGGGTCCTGTCAGCGCCTCGCCTTACGTCCCTCCAATTGGTCGACGGCAATCCCAAACCTCGGAAAGCTCTTACGCAAGCGATATTCTCCGCTCTCATACACTTCCTGAACCTTCCTCAAAGGTAGCCTCCAACGACCCCCTTGGGGTCCATGGCTACGTCGGGAATCAGACAACGTTTGGATACAGCCCGTTGTATCCTAACTCTTTCTTGGACCCATCTCTCAACCTCAATCTCGGCGCATCCGGCTATAATAGTCCAGGCATGAATTCAAGCCCTGGAATAGGCATGGTTTTGCCATATGGCACGCCTGTAAATGGAGCTTCCAGAGCCGGAAATTTCATAAGCCCTATCGGGCCCCCTCCTACAGAGACTCGATACGCGCTTAATGGAGGTGATCAAGAAACGGAATCTTTTATCACCAGTCCCATAGATATCCAGTCGCTTATCCAGCAGAAAGGTTATAATCCTGTCAGCTTCAATACTCGCCCTCAAGACGTACGTGCAGTCTCCACCTTTCGGCACCCTCTCAGCGCGATTTTTCCCTTTAGGCTCGTTATTTTGTAATCAAATCCTACACGGAAGAAGATGTACATAAATCGCTGAAGTACGAGATTTGGAGTTCGACAGATCCTGGAAACAAACGACTGGACAAGGCGTTTCGTGAAAATGCTGGTCGCGGGCCTATCTATCTCTTCTTCAGCGTCAATGCCAGTGGACATTTTTGCGGTGTGGCAGAGATGTTGACACCCGTAAGCTGACCCCCTCTCGGAGATGTACAGAAGCTGACATAACAGCACAAGGTTGATTACACCCGAACTAGCACAGTTTGGGCACAGGACAAGTGGAAAGGAGTCTTCAAGGTGCGATGGATCTTCGTTCGTGATATCCCGAATGCAGTGCTCCGCGGGATCCGTCTAGAGTACGTTCCCGTGTATGATTTTCGAGGGAGTCGCATGATGTCAGATTTATTGAACTCAGGAACACTCAAGAACGTAAACCAGTGACAAATTCGCGGGATACGCAAGAGCTGCCAAAAGAGGCTGGGAACGAGATGCTACGAATCTTCCTGACGCATGCGGCGAAAACATCGCTCCTTCAAGATCTCGCTTACTACGAGGTTGGTCCTTTGCTAATCGGTAATAGTGTTCTCTTACGCTCGTCCTTGTTCCAAGAGCAAATCACCGAACAAAGATGGCGAGAACTCGCAACCTGCTGCGCCTCAGCGCCATAAAAGACATTATCAACAGCAGCAACAGCAACAGCAACAGCAGCAGACTCAGCGAGATCAGCAACCTCAGCCATATTATCAACAAAGACAACAGTCCCCACCCCAATACTATGTATTAGATGGTCGTGCCGAGAATGCTCTGCTCCAACGGGAACAGCTCCAGCAGCTGTTGCAACCACAGCAAATGCAACAATCGCAAGGACTTCATAGCCCGCCCCTGCTGCCCCGTGATAACAACGGGCTACCGACAACTCCATATGATATCCAGAATCAGATGAATTTCGGTTATTTTGGCACATTATGAAGCATTGATTTTGCGTTCGTTTTTGACGCCCCTTCAGCTATGATCCTCCATGGATTGCATTCTCCCCACTCTCCGCCGGATGAGTGCCTGCTAATTGTCCGGCTTTCATTACTGCCCCATCTACCCGCCCTGGTTCTCGGTGCTCAATTTATGTACTCGGAACGCCTTTTAATCCGACTTGTCATTTCTTATTTGGCTCCTTCGTTCTATTCATATAGCTAGCCACGTACCCGCATGGACAGCATGAACGGACTGCTTTCAATTTGTGTACGTTTGATACGTTGTTCTTGGTTCTGCTGGATCATGGTTGTAGTGTAATTCAATGCCGCATTCAAATTCAATAATCCTATCGATGGTCTACGCTCATCGTTGGAGTCTAGTTCTCGCACTATTTCTGCGCACAAGAAAGGCCATTGCACAGCGATGACCTTGATCGGGAGAGTTCAATATGGCACCGGTCTCGCAATGCATGACTTCGTGGGAGTGTCGGAAAATCGCGAGATCAATCAAAAACACGAGACTTGACATTTAATTGTTGTCTAATCAGTTCGGTTCCGTGAGCGGTCCATGAGTTAGTGGACACGGTCCGTATGGACCTGCAATGCGTATGATTGTGCGCCAGCGATGCGAGCCGTACGTCAATTAAATACATTAACAGTAAATGCAGGAGAGGGTAGCAAGTGAAAAAATGATGTAACGCAACGGAGGCGATGGGGAAGGAGGTGGGTGTCAGGGACTCGTCCGGGGTCGAGGGGGTCCGGGTATAGCGTCCGGGACCGAGAGCCTGGCGGGGGGCGGATCGGGCGTGCGTACTGACAGGCCCGATGTGGGACAGTAGTCCCTGGCCACTTAGACTGAAGTGGAAAGTTGAGAAGAAGGCTACTTCTTCGGTTCCCACTTCAGGTTCGTTTATATACATGCGGCTTGGATCACATGACGGATGCCACGTCACCCTCGCACACAGCCGTAACCACCCGGGTGTCTCCGTGGGAGATCCCGAGGGTATCCGGTGCAGGTGCGCGTGCTGGGCACAGCGGGAAGTCGCCCGAGGTGCCCAGGCCGGGTACATGGTGGGCGCGCTGCAGATGGGTCAGTTGTACATTGATACAGAGAAAGTCGTCCATGTAGAATAAAGAGAGAATAAAGGGGAAGTAAGATAAGGAGAAACTGAGGAGGGGAGGATGGGGGGGAAGAAGGGAAAGGGGGAGGGGGTAAGGAAGGGTGGACTGGCGGGGTACCGGGTCAGGTTGGGCCGGGTGGAGCCGGGTCAGGTGGGTGTGCCCTGACAGTGGGAAGCGCGGAGATTCAGTTGAGAACTATGAAAGTAAGAGTAAGCGCGCGTTTAGTGGATAGCGAGAGCAGGGATAACCGTGTGCAGGCCTGAGGAGTGGGGCCAGCACACACGGTTAAAAGCCTCATCGCACTACCGTTAACTTACCAGTTAGACGTTGTAGTACGATTGCGCAGGCAGGTGGGGAGTGGATAAGGTGCGCTATTTATCTCGCTCCCGGATGCAACTTGTCTCTTCCCGCAGCTGGTCTGAGACCAAGTTTGGGCCCGGAGGAGGGTTTCGTCCGTCTTGTTCCATCCGCACTGCGACAGTGCAGAACAAGACGGCCTCCTCTGAGGCGCGCGCGGATCCACCTGATTAGTCACGTGAAATGGGATTAAACTGAGACTAATCAGTTCGGTTCCATGAGCGGTCCATGAGTTAGTGGACACGGTCCGTATGGACCTGCAATGCGTATGATTGTGCGCCAGCGATGCGAGCCGTAACTTGTACACGTATAATGGCTGGTGGAGGGGTGGTTGGTGGTGAGTACTTAGACTCAATGATCTGCACGCTGGCCGTCGAATGCTGATCGTCCCCCCAATGTGCCTTGGATCAGTATCGGGTTTTGGCGCAGGTAGATCAGGAAAGCTTCTGAAGACCACCTTCCAATAGCGTGTATCTGCTCCAAAGGAGTACCTGCAAGTGCTAACGCCGTTGCACCACCCGAGCGCAAGGAATGGCCTGCAACATCTCCCGTCGTGATGACTCCTTGCAGTCTGCCCAAGAACCAGGACCGGGTGGGGATCTTTCCTGAGTCTCGCAGCCATAAATCGGGGAGGTGTCGGAATCGATAGTCTCGAGCGTTCAGGTATTGTTCGAAGATTCCCAGGGGGTCTAAGTCACTGTCTCGTCTCTCTAGCACGACCGTTGAGCCTTCAAACAGCCTGTCCGCTTTGTGCATTGGTAAGATGAACGCGTAGTGAGGTCGCGGTTCGGAGTGGAATCTAACTGAAGATCTTCTTATTGATTTTCGGTAGTTGCGCAGTGCCCCCGAGTTGCTGTCCACTAGTTCGCCAAGCCGCATGAGGCAGTGCCATCCTGTGAAGGTGATTGCAAGGAAGAGCACATCGTCATGTGAAGGCTGAGGTGGGATTGATTGTAGAACGGTCTGCAAGTCACTTTCGGTTAGAGCCCTCTTCCTGACAGCTGGAGTGCGGAACATTTTGGAGCATCCAGTTAGAGTTCTTGAGACGAGTTTTGAGTTGCGAGTGTCGCGGACCTCCGGCCAGTATGCTTCAAGTTCTGAACATATACCTGAAAGATACGAAGAGACCGAGTTTGGTTGGATGTGGGCACACATGTAGACGATGTAAAAGGTGAGTGTGTCAATCGTTGGTCGTAATGGGAAATGGTGGAGGTCGCAGAAATTGATGTAAGACATTAGCGCTGACATATAGGTACGAGCAGTGCTAGGCTCAAGAGCGGCTCCCAGGGCAGCTGCTCGAGCCTCCCGGAGGCGCTCCAGGGACCAAGGCTCGCGCTGTGGTTGACAGGTCTTGGAGCGCCTCTGATCATTCATTTCTTCAATGCCCCCAGCTTCATAAGCGCCGGAGGCATGAAGTGTTTGATGACCAGCTTCGGGTACATACCTTTCACCAATTCAAAATTGCGTCGCGATAGTGCATCTGCCACAACATTCCGCTTCCCTTCCACTAGAAAGACGCGGAGGTCGATCTTGTGCTCTATCCGTGTCGAGACAGCCGTCATGAGGATTGGGTTGTACAGGTCTGTCGTGCGGAGCGAGTTGAAAATGTTCAGTGAGTTTGTCGAATCGGTGTAGATTGCGAGCCGCTTCGGTGGGGGGGATATTGTTGTAGACCATTGGAGTGCCGCGAGTATTGTGATAGCTTCATTGTAGAATATGTTGAATGCCTCGTCAGGTTGGGTTACCAGGTCGCCAATATACGCAGCTTTGTATTTCGGTGCCCAGAATGCGAGCCCAATCTTGCAGGCATCTCCCCATACAACCACATCAGCATCGCTTGGCCCCCATGATTCGGCGTTCAGCATGCGAACTCCTTCCATCCGCTCTACTGAATCAGCAAACCATAGTAGGTCATTTCGTACCTGCTTGTTTATATAGATGCTTTGATTCATCATCTGCTTCCCTGCGATTTTCTCGTATGACGAGTTCAGCGCCGGCTTGAGAAGTGGGAATACGTTGAGGACCCAGTTCGCATACCCAAGGGTCTTCAGCCAGTCCTTCAGAGGTTGCCTTCGCAGATTGTCCGGGGTGTTGAGGACGAACTTTCGTATCGCAGCGCAGAATCTTCCCTTTGCCTCTTCTGAGATGGATATCGTGAGTTGCTCTGCGTCAACGAGGAAGCCTATGATTTCAAGCTGGGTCCCAAAGAGTTGCTTGCCCGACTCGTGTGGGACTCTGATGTGGTCGAGCAATTTAAGGAATCTTGTCTGGCCTCGTGGTAACTCCCTATTGTATGGGGGATAAAGTTCAAGTTCATTGTCAAAGCTTGCATTGAATGCATCATCGACATAGTGAAGTAGACCTCGTATCCCGCAAACATGGATTCCAATCCAACATACGAGTCTGAAGAACAAGCACCACAGCCGGCCAGAGGCCCGATTCCCGAAGACTGCACATCGGTCCACATGGTACTTCCCGTCAATCAGTGTTGCCTGCCGTGCCTGCCATTGTGGGTGCATTGGTAGCCGTCGGTAAGCTTGAGATGCATCAGATTTCCAGAGAAAAGCTGGCCTCCTTCCTCCATTCTCTTTCATGACGGCACGGATATTGGTCCCAAGGTCAGTTAGATTGTCCAGGACTACATACCCGCCATCACTCGGGATCAGCGGATTCAGGGATTTCTCCCCTGCGCTATGGTCGTTGACAAGCCGCAGCTTCGATGAGCCTTTCTTCGGTACCGTAAAAATAGGTTGCGCCACCATCCCAGGCAGTAGCTGGTCCCCAAACGCTTCGGAGTATCGGTCCAGGCCCATCTCGGCAGCACATTGCTGTCTAAGGAATTTGACTGATTCATCGTCCAATTCAGGAGTGCCCTTCACACGCTCTACAATTCCTACCGGTACGCTCTTCGGGTCCTCGACATCTGCAAAGGGCCAGAACCCAGTCCGCAGTCCATCACATACAGATCTGACGAGATCACGATTCGGGTGTGATTTCAGGAGGACTTCGAAATGGTCAACGTTGATAGGGGTAACGATTTTGAACAGGCTCGGGTTGTCCTTGATAGTCATAGTGATGTCTTGATATCTATAATCACTTTGAGGGACGCTCGGGACAGGTTGAGCACTCTCAGTGTACGATGCCGATGGTGTCTGACCAATATCATGCTGACCGAACACGAACCTCATGTATCTTGGTCGTTTGCTCTTCTCCTCGGCCTCATTGAGATCCTGTGGTTGTCTTCTCCTTTTGCTGTGGACACTTTGGCTCGGCATGGGCACTGGATCCACAAGATCCACACTTGTGGAGGTAGCGACATTCGGAGCGTCGACATCCATCCGTTTTGTTGAATTCTCAGCAGATTGGGTAATCATTGTTGCCACGCTTCCGTTTTTTGGTGACATTCCCCCCAGCTCCGGTCGCCTTGTCGCTCCCTGCTTCTCCAGCCGACTTTCCAGGCTTACCTTCTCCCCGGGTATCTCCGTCTCCTCCTCCGAGGTAGATGTCGTGGATGATTTCGTTGAGCGCATTAATGTCGGAGAATGCTTGATGGGTTTCCTGGAAGAACTTCCTTGCAGCCTGGTCGTATTCGATGTTGAGGGCGACATTCCGGTTTCTGCTGAAACGCTTGACGATGTGACGGTGGTACTCATGGAGCTCCGGACCACGGTGGGGGTATGCCCATACAACCGCAGCGACATATTTGTCCCACGCCTCCGTCCATTGTGATTCGTTTGCCAGTTTGGTCTTGCTCTGGCTACTTGACCCAGTCGAGATTTGAACCCCATTCCCGAGGTCAACGGAGTCTTCATATCGGATGGCATGGGAGTGCCTATCTTCGACCAAGTGTCCGAAGTCGACGAGTCGGTCCCCAAGGATGTCCTTCCAGAGGTATGGTGGGAATTCAGGTTGACCACCCCGACAGATGAGACTTCGGATGGCACGTTTGACGTTGGTGTTGTACGTGTTCTTGAGGAGTTGTGTCTTCTCGGCGTTGGTGAGCATGGCCTCCTCGCTGGCATCCCAAGGTGGTCCTCCGTTCCCGAATTTCCAGTTCCACGCATACTCGGCACGATGGTCACTTTCTTCGTTGGCAACTCGTTTGAAAACCTCGTTTCCACGGAGCCGTCCAGAACTGGCTTGATTGGTGGGTTGTCCGACTTGAGAGGTAGTCTGAGTCGTGACATTAGGGTTCGATTGGACAGTCCCATCCTGCTCGGCCGAGGTCTGTTGTCGGGCGATACCTCCATCGAGGTCACGGTCTCCTCGTGCTCGAGCTCGGATCCTTGCCTCTGCTGACTGTTCCAGTTCGTTGCCGTATCGGACGAGCGTTTCCCTGCGCTCCTCCTCATTAAGGGACTGATCCGCAGTGACGGCTTCGGAGAGGGTGGCGTACGCCTCTCTAAGTGGGATCTGGTTGGCATTGTATCGCCTGACGACTTCATCGAGCTGCTCGACCGTACTCACGGCCTCGAGCAGTGACTGGAACGCATTGCCGTGGGAGATGGATTGAGCTGCATGATGCGACATAAGATGTAAGCGTAGTTGATCGATAGATGATCGAGTTCGATTAGATAAGCGCGGAGATTCAGTTGAGAACTATGAAAGTAAGAGTAAGCGCGCATTTAGTGGATAGCGAGAGCAGGGATAACCGTGTGCAGGCCTGAGGAGCGGGGCCAGCACACACGGTTAAAAGCCTCATCGCACTACTGTTAACTTACCAGTTAGACGTTGTAGTACGATTGCGCAGGCAGGTGGGGAGTGGATAAGGTGCGCTATTTATCTCGCTCCCGGATGCAACTTGTCTCTTCCCGCAGCTGGTCTGAGACCAAGTTTGGGCCCTGAGGAGGGTTTCGTCCATCTTGTTCCATCCGCACTGCGACAGTGCAGAACAAGACGGCCTCCTCTGAGGCGCGTGCAGATCCACCTGATTAGTCACGTGAAATGGGATTAAACTGAGATTAATGTCTCCATTTCATGAGACTAATCATGGGATAGCAACTTACCATCAGCTGATCTCAGGTTCCCGCTTCCGCTCACCAACTAGCTGGGAAACCTGGCTGCACCCTGTCGGGATCGTTTTGGCATTCACATGCCTCCCAGCACTGATCGCGGTGATCTCTTGTGATTTCTCGCGCAACTTAGCCTGAATGGGTCAGGGGACGCTGCCTCAGACGTATGCTGGATGTTTCGGCGCAGATGTGCAAAGCGGACCATTCAGTGGAGGTACATACTGAACTTCCGCTATTGAGGAGAGCACTCATTTGCCTTGGCTGTGCTTATAAAGGGACCCTGATGGCCCCCCTTTCTTCATTGGCTGCTTGAGACTTCCGGCAGTCTGCACAGGTGCCAATGGGCTTACTGCCCCACGACTTTGAGCAGAGAATCCCCCATACAATTCCGCACTCCTCAAGGACGGTGTCAGGGCACACCTGCCTGACCCGGGTCCACCCGGACCCACCCGGCCACACCACACCCGCTCCCTGCTGTCTATCCCCCTCCCCCCTCCTTCCTCCCTCTCCTCCCCTTTCTTTTCCCTCTTCCTTCCCCTTTCTTTATTTCTTTCTTCTCATCTTCCTCTTCCTGTTTATTTCTTTCTATCTACATGGACCACCTTCCTTTGTATCGATGTACTATTGACCCATCCAGCCCACACACCCCGGACGGCTTCCTGCTGTGCCCAGCATGCGCACACGCAGTGGATGCTCTCAGGATCCCCCACAGGGACACCCGGATGCCTGTGGCTGCCTCCGAGGATGACGTGGCACTCGTCATGTGACTCAAGCCGCATGTACATAAATGTACCTGAAGTGGGAACCGAAGAAGTAACCTTCTTCTCACATTCTCCACTTCAGGTAAGTAGTATAGCTTTCCCCTTTAATAATAATAACACATTCTCCACTTCAGCCTGAGTGGCCAGGGACCACTGTCCTGGATCGGGCCTGCCAGTACGCACGCCCGCTCTACACCCCGTGACGGCCTCAGTGCTGGACATTACCCCTGGGCCCTCTCGACCCCGGATGCGTCCCTGACAGACGGCCTTCATCCCTTTTGCCTTGCCTCGCAAATTCTCAGGGACATCTTTGCTATCAGGATAGACCATCAGCTGCACTTGGCCATGAGGATCAAGAGTGCCAGGAGCAGGAGGAGGGTTATCCAGTGGAATGATGGTAGAGTGCATTAATGCTTGTTTTCCTCCTGGTCCAACATTCATATTATTGACATTCAGCACATTAGGCCTGAGTCCCTCATGACTGGATGAGCAGTCAAAGATCCATACACCAACACAATCAGAAACTTGAACTCAAAGATATCGATTGCATCTTTGAGCTGGTTGGGCATATTTGAGGTTCCATCAGTTGCACAGAAGACAGTACGAAGCATACCTGTTCCAACAACTGCACACCATCCCACCAGGCATCATGCCCCTTCCCTGGATAAGTGATCACTCATGCATCTGACTTGACTCTTTCACTCAGAGCATGCTTGTTATTCCCTGCTGACTCTTCTTCTGTCAGAACCAGACATCCGTGTTCTGTTACAAAGTCAGAGACATGGATAGCTTGTCCATTCCCCTTCTTACTGAGAGGCTGTTCTCCATCCTTAATCCATACATGCCACTGATACTCATTGACATGAAAGGTGCTTTCATCCTGATATATAGGTATGTGTTCTTTTGCACCAAGCAGGCAGCCAAATGGCAGTGGATCCATGTTTGGGCCATCGTACATTCTGTCTGATGTACCTGAGGAATGCAGGTGTTCAGAATTTTTGCAAGTGCAGTGTGAATTACATTGTGCTCACTTTCCAATCCCCTTTTCTCTAGACATTGAGTCAATGAACTCTTTACGATATTCAATAACATCAGGGCACTCATGGCCATCCATGTATGCACCCCTTTTTGACTCAACACTTCGGTAGCCAAGTTCTTGCTGCATGCTCAGTAATTCTATTCTTCTCAGAGGGTGTGTTGGGTCATAATTTGGGTAAAAGATCCTCATTAACATGCTTAGCAAGGAGGTGGGGTGTGATCTACAACTCTAGGTGAGAATGGACTTCAGACATTGTGATGAGAGAAATGACATACTTGGCCAAGGTTCACTGTTGCCAGATAGTGATGTATGCCCGCAACAATTGCCTCATTATCCAACAAACTTCCTGCCCCAAGCTTTTCCAGCTGTGCACACTCTGGGAGCTTGTGATACTTCGGTATGTAAGGGACCATTTCATGAATTTTGCATGCAAAGGCTGGACCCTTGCCCATCTGAGCAGATATTGCAAGGCTTGCCCCTTTTCTTGGTTGCTTGTGTTGATGTGGCCCTGGTTCACTCCAAGCACAGTGAAGTTTTTCATATGAAACAACAGCTGTGAGTATCATGATTGTCTTTAGGGTCACTCTTGTCTTGATGCCAGTTGCTTGTTTCAGAAGATTGTTTGCAATGACAAGGATATCTTCATCAGGCTCTTCTTCAGAAATAATGCTTTCAATAGATGTAATGACATCAGTTGCGGTGGAGGTGTGTTGCAGTGGGTCTTCATTGTCAGGTGCATCCTCATTTGTATCCTTGTCATTCATGTTTATTGTCTGATTAAGTGACATCAGTAAACATCATGTAGGGATGCTGATATACCCACCCCTTCAGAGTTAAAAGTCTCTATTGCCAGTGACTCAAACCTGCTGATCAACCTCTCGAGCCTGTTCTCGAAGTCGCATGCAAGTGCATCACTGCTCTCACCACAGCCCACTGACATGTCTGGAACTTGGGAAATCTCAGAATGCATCCTCTTGATCTAATTTACAAAGAAGTTCAGCATGTGTGCATGCAATCAATGAAACTGACTCACTCCGGGTTTAAGTGTAAATGCTTTTAAAACACAATTATCACATTTTGTTGCCACTTCTGCCAGCTCCCTGGTCTTCTGCCAGCTCCTTCGCATGGAGCGCTTTGAGTTTCCAAGATATGGTGCACATCCGATAAATTTAGCCTGTGTCACTTCATCATAAGGTCACCATATAAAAGCTGAGAAAAAAGTTTCCTCACCTTTTTTGTAACCTGCATAATGCATCATCTTCTTCAGGGGAGTCATCCACACCATTGTTAGCATCTGCTGTGGAGTCCGACTCATACTGGTACTCTGAGTCAGAGTTGGCAGGGGTCGAAGCTTGGTGGATCCGTGATTGGAAATGACCACAGGCTTCCCATAGTTGCTCTTGGGCCTGATGCTGACAAGCAGTTTTGGCAGGCATACTGGCTTGGGCGCTTTGTTAGCTGAGTCCTTGCACATGATGCTAACTTACATTGAACCCTATTGCCGATACCGAGATTCCACTGGTTACTGTGTATCTTAGACATCTAAACCCTCTCATGTGTGTATTGTTATGTACTTTAGCCACAGGAACCCAGTAGGCACCTTTTGTGGGCATCATTGGCATTATTTCCTAATTAGGAAGATGAGGTGGCCAATTTGCTGGTGGATTTTTTCTTAAAACTTGGGGGCACAAAAATCTATCCTGATACATTGAAAGAGTGTCCAAATGCAATAATTTTGCACTAGGTTATGTGATGTTTAGATGAGATATGATGGGGCTGAAAGGAAAGTTTGTCGGAAGCAAATTGAAGTGCCAAAATTTAGCATCCCACACTATAGTCAAAAATGAATGGACAGCCCCTTGGCTAGGTAGCACTATACCTTCTTGGAGTAGTCTCTGAGGTTATTAGGTAGTGCTTTCTGTGTACTGGCACTTGGGAGGGAAAGGGTATAATATGAATGGTTTCCTTTTCTGTACTTGGCAAGAGCCATAATTCAATTTTACTCTATCCATGTGAGTCAAACTTGAAACTGATTTTTTTAAAAATTGGATTGTGGTCAGTGTTAAAAGAGAGGTTGATTCCAACATCATAAAGTATTTTGGGATTTATTTGGCAATAACAAAGGATTTTAAAATTCCAAAACCAGGGAGCTACAAAACTACACCAGTTGTACAGCTTCCTGGTGCCACATTAGCCTCAGAAGTGTTGTGGCAGAAATGAGCTGCAACCCAAATTTCACCACAATTTGCATCCAAATAGTACCTAGGTATGAAAGTCATCTGTCATATCCATACAATCCCGACCTCCGCTCCGGGCTCCCGGAACTCCGAACTCCGACTTCCGGAGCCCTACTTCCCTTCCGTCACCTTCTCCTTGCCGACTCCCAAGAGGTTATCCCACCTCCGGCTCGGACACCACCTTCGGTCCGACTCCGGAACATTCCGGGTCCGACCCCAACCTCGACACCTTCCAGACGAGTACGCAAAACCTATGCTCCCGACTCCGGACCTCCGCTCCGGTATCCCGTTCACGTCTTGTCTCCGGAACCTCCGGTCTTAGCTCCGACCTCGGACTTTGACCCCACCTCCGCTTATACCCATTGTATTGGTTAGCTCATTCCATTTAATTACCTTTGCCAATATTCCGGAGTTTAACCTCCGAGTTCGGACTTTCCGGACTTACTCCGGACCTTGCAACTATTGCATTGTCCATTTCAATTCCGCTATTCTCCCTCATTCCTATTTGGGCTGCTGCTTCCTTTCTATTCAGTCAGCTAGCCATTCCCCACTCCCAACCTCCTTCCTTCCTCCTTGGGCCTTGGCCCTTCATTCCTCCTTTGGGAAACACCATTGAGTCAAACACTTGACCCTCGGTGTTGTTCCTCTTTCCATCTCCCTTTGTCTCCTTTTGTCCTACCCTTGTTCCTTTTGATTCCGGACCCCTCCTTATATACAATGTACCTAGTAACTTGTAACCTCAGTCCGAAATCGACATGAATTCCCCCCAAGAGACTTTCCCCCTGCTAGATCCGAAATTAGGGACCCCTAGGACAACCAGCAATGGCACAGCGCTCCGCCTGAGTCGCTGAGGCCGAGGTCCTTCCACGCTAAGTCTCCGATTCCATTCCGGAGTCGTCCGAATCCGCAAGTTCTAACATCATCTATCTTAAGGTCATACTCTAATTCTCATTATCCACCGAGTTAGCAAAAGTTCACACACACAGTTGGCAATCACATGTGTTGTTCTCCTACTTGTTTGTACAAGGGTGACGTTTTGTGTCTAATTATTCTTTATTGTATGCATGGGCATTTGTAACCTCAATACAGGCTTTCATGATTTATTTCAGATTCTTCTGTGATGTTCTATGCATTCTCCATGCTTTGTTTTGACCAGAGACTTCCATATTTGGGCAGAATTGGTCTTTGTGATCTTCTGAAGTGCAGATAGCCAGTTCCCATCCCATTGCCACCCTCACTTGTCTTTCAACATAGTGTGGAATACTCAATTCCCATCACTATGTAACTTCACAACAGCTGGGCCGATTGGCCTGAAACTTTGTGTAGTGCTAGAACCTGATTTATTATATTTTCCATGTAAATTTCATTAGGTGTTTTCAATATGGATCTTTTGTGAACATCAACTTTTCCCTGAGATATGACTTCAATGTTGCTGAACCCCTTGGTGAATATCTCCATGATGTGTGAACCTTTTGCTATGAAATTTTCCGTGCATTGAGAATCGATCCCTCCATTTCCAATGAGCTATCAAACTTCTCTTGGTCATTACTGGTTGTCCTTCATGCTCACTTTTTGAATGTTGGCTTTGTTTCCAATGAATTTCAGCTATTTCTCCATAGTCTATCTGTAGTTTTCCCTGAAATTACCTTCATTGAGTCTATTTCAAAGGCATATACATTCTTTATTTATTATAAACACAACAATGGGTTTTGCATTGATTCCTCCAGAATCTTGTTCTGCAGAACTTCCTTGCTGATGGGTGTGGGAAGTGGTTTCCATGGAGGTTTTCAGATTGATTTCATGGTCAAATCTCACCTGATTGGCCTCATTCTTGCTTTAATTGATGCTGAGCTTGAAGTATTTTTCTTAATTTTCTATCTTGGCATTTGTTTATGTAGTCATGAAAATTCATAAAATTTGTTAAAATTCATTAAAATTCAAACTTTGCTATCCTTTCATTTCTACTTGTCATACAGGGGTTTTGTAATTTTCTGGCATATTTCCATGATGTGGTTTCATAGAGTGACTGTTATTTCTCCTACAATGGTGGGAATGGAAGTGAAGTGGATGAGTGGGATGGACTTGGATGGCCTATAGCAATATCTGTGGTAGTGGTGTGGTAATCCAGGGTCAGGATTCCCAGATGTGACACTGATCTCCCTTACAGTATTGCTTGCAAAGGAAAACTGATTTATTTGACAGTGGAAACAGAATTATGAGACAAGGAGAAAAGAACAGGGGTTATCAAACAAAAGAGAAAGTTGACTATTTGGAGAGGTGGAATAATCCTTACAGTTTGCATCTGCATTTTGCAGCAAACTGTGTTTCCTGGTCCATGCTACCATCGACAGAGTGCTCCCTCTTCAACCTCTGCATTGCTGCCCTGCTGCTTCCTGTCTTCCCCTTCCTCTGGTCATTAGATATTGGTTGGCTGCCAGAAGCTGTGGAAGTAGAAATGGGTGAGGATGAGGGGCAATGTGTAGCCTGGAATGAAGAATGGGCTTTGCCATATATGGGCTCCAGATCTTGAGGATGAGTCTCACAGTCTTGATAGAAGACACCTTTGTCAGAGAACATTGCAAATACCATCCTACCATCACCTTCCCAACCCCCAGCATCATGTTCAAAGGTGGCCCCTCTGATAAAGAAGAGGTCACTGGGATGAGAGGGAAAGAAATAACCCAGCTCAGGAAAATGAAGCTCTCCACCCTCATATTTGCCAAACACAGCAATGGCATCAAAGCAAGACCAACAAGATTCTTGATCCTTATGGTACTGTGTGTCAGAGGGAAGATGAACAGCATGGCTGAAAAAATGGCTTTTGACATGGCTGAGGTACCCATCAGGGTCTCTGAAGTCCCTAACAGATTGCCAAATCTTCCTGCTTTGCTTGCAAAGATTTGGTGCTATTCTCTCTGCATAAAGATTGAGAATATGATAAAGGGGTTCACATTTGTCATGAAACTCCCTGATGGTTTTCTGTCAGGATCCGGACCCAGCTGGGAGTGGCTGGAGGGCGAGACCAGGTGTGGAAGCTGGGGTACTCTCCCCAGCTGCTAACTCCTCAAAGTCGCTGAGGGGACTAGCCTCAGCCTTCACAGGGAATGAGCTGAGAAGAAGGGTAAGCTTTCTCAGCCCCCTGTGAGGCTGACACAAAAGGACCCTAGGAACTATACAGTTCCCACTTGCTGCCGACTTTCCATAATGGGTGTGACCTGTGGGAAAGTTCTGGGCAAGCTGCTTGCCCAGAATGTTCCCATGGTCACGTGTCCTGGTGAGTTACTCTCCCAGAAAGTTCCTGCGGCTGTGGCTGTGGCTGTGCATTTCTGGGCAAGTTGCTCACCCAGAACGTTCCCACAGGTTCACGTGCACACACATCATTGTGTGAAACAGTGGGGGGAAGGATAGGGGGAATGGGGAGATGTGGGGAGAGGGTGGTTAGGGAAAGGGTGAGGGTGTTTGAGGGTGAGTGGGGTCAAGGGCTGTGCCCTGACATTTTCAGAAATTTATTTGAGTCCCTGCTCACAACTGGATGCAGATCCTACATACATTCATCAGCTATATGAGTGTGACACATGAGAAAGACTAACCTTTCTACCAAGGCCTTGCCAGTAAGCAAAGTGGGCTTGGCCACTTTTGAACAGCTCAGAAACATCTTCCTTGAAATTGGTGTGGTATTTTGAAGTGGGAAAGCCATATTGATGACTGAATTTAGCCCTGGCATCCATAATTTTGTCCTGGATAAAGCAAGATGGAGGTAAAAAGTAATATTGATCAACTCCAATAATTCAAACATACATGAATGAATTCAAATACTCCTGGGAGATGAATTGCCAGGAGTACTCCATTCCTGTCCTCTATAGCAGCTCCATATTGTCCAGCAATATTTTCTCAATTGGGGGGGTGGGGAATTCAATATCCCTCGTGTTGGTTTGTGTTGCTTGTTTGTTGGCAGCCTTATCATTATGACTTGCCACATCTCTGTAGTCTATGTCAATGCAAACTGGAAATACTGTTGAGTCATTAGCAAAAAATACAATAGAATGACACAACCTGTATTTTTGAGTGCAGTAAATATGGCTGCCTCAACTTCCCTCTCAGCAAGGGTTATTGCTTCCACCCAGGGATCTTTAACACCCCTTACCCTCTCTTGGTGGTCATTCAATGCAGTTTTCCTAAGGTGAAGTCATCTGATATGCATGTTCCTGAGAGGCTTTCATGTCTTTCACTCTAAAGGGTGTTGACACAATTCCAGTCTTTTGATAGTAGTTTCTCATCTTATGTGACCTCCCCCAAGGTTGCTTGGGTGGTGGAATGGATTCCATGGAAGTGTGTGTGTATGGTGTGTGTGTGTGTATTGTCAGAGACCAGATCCGGGATGAAAGATGATGTCCCTGAAATGGAGGGCTTCGGCCTCAGTGACTTATCCCAGGAGCACTGTGCCTAGTAACATGTCTGTGCCCTAATTTACCGACTGACAAGGAATTCTAGAAGAGGGGAAACTCTAGTCAATTTTATCACTGAAGTGTAACATATCTACAAGTTATGTATATATAGTTACATAGGAAGTGGGCCTGCAATGGTGAAGCCGAGCAGAGTGGAGCTAATGGAGTTACAGGTTAGCTGACTGAATATTACCAATGAGTTGGGTTATGGGGTTAGTGGGGCGATGGGCTATAACCCAGAAACAGGAAGGAGGGATGGGCCTGGAGGTAGACTTGCAGGGCAGGCAACTAAATTGCCCAGTGGAGGCAGGGGTGCACTAGCAGACGTTGGAGCTGTCTGGAGGCCTTCAGGGCTCTGTACTTAGGGAGGCATAGGTAATATATTGAATTGAAGGGGTGGTGACCATCAGCGGTGTTGGAGGGGATTGTGGAATCTGGAGGCTCCATGGTTAATGACAAAGGAGTGGAGGCAATCCGGAAGGACCAGAGGTGATGGGAGGTGATGGCTATGGATGGATATGACATGTATGGTGTGTGTGTGTGTTGGTCCTTGCCCTTGTATATGCTGAGGGAGCCTTATGCATCCTTGTTTGATTCAAAAGAAAACAAGACCTGGATGATGAAAGCACATGATGCCAAGTTTATTGAAACTGGCAATGGCAAGCAAGTTGGGGGTGCATGGATGATAGGAGAAGCCTGAGGGGGAGTAGAAAGAGAATCTAAGGCTGTTGCAGAATGTCAGAATGGTGATGAAGGTGTGAAAGTGAAAGAATACAGCAAGCACACCCAAAAATCACCCAATTGACCAAAAATTGCCCCAAAATCAACACCAGGGGCTCGCATGAAGCAGCCCATCACCAAGAACTTCACTCCTCATTGATCAAATGGCTCAAATGCCAGTGCATTGTCCATTAACTCAGAATTGGCAATTTCCAGCTGTGGGCTCTTAAAGCCAAAGGGCATCAGAAACTGTCAGAAGATGGACTGAAGACGGATGGGTTTCTGTCTGAGTTGGGGTCAGAGGTGTTGGCAGAGGTCTGTTGGAATGCACATGCATGGATATGTGGGCAGAAATGTGCGGTGTGTCTGGAAGTGCTGTTCAAAGTTAACAGAGTGGGATTGCAGCCTCAGCGACTCAAGTGGATTGCTGTGCCCTGAGCTTGATGTTTGGGGGAGATGCAGGTTGCTCTGATAACCTAGTTGTGATTAAAGCTGGGGGAAAGGAGTGTCCCCATCTTAGGGTCAGCTATATACATGTAGAGTCTGGCAATAAGGAAACCAAACAGATTGCCAATAGAATCACATGATCATAGAATGTTCCAGAAAATGCCGGAGATGGTCTGGGCCACCAGGGCTTAGGTAAGCAGAGTAGATGGGAATTGCTGGAATACTTCCCACATGCATATGCGCAGCCAGCATAGGGTCCAGGGTCATTGCTGATCCCTGACAAGCACTGACAGACCACCCTCTGTCTGCAGACTTATCAGCACTGCACTGATTCCCACATCCCATTTCACGGACTTGTGTCAGTGCCACATGCTGACCCCACTTTTCCTTTGGCCTTTTGCCACTCAGCAGCATACATTCATTCCTTGCTGAGTGCCTATTACATATGTTTATCCACTCATTCACTTAACTTGCCAATATCAGCATTGATCCACTTGTCAGGGTTCAGCACCCTGCCTTAGGGTGCCCCAGACTCCCCACCTACTTTACCCCCTTTTTATTCTTTGACTGTTGCCTTGTTGTTGCCTTTGTGTGTTGTGTACATGCGCGCACGGGATAGCGCGGGAACTTTCTGAGCGAGCAGCTCGCCCAGAATGTTCCCACGGGTCACAGCCACAGTTCTGGGCAAGCAACTCGCCCAGAACGTTCCCACGCTTACTGGGCACTGCCACCTGGATGTTCCCTCCGGGTCACACTACACAACTCTAGGAGCTGTATAGTTGTGGGCATGTGACCCATTCCTTTATATAGCAACCATGCGGGGAGATGAGACCTTTACCCTTCTTCTCATCTCATGCCCCGCATAGGCAAGTGTATATTATCTTTCCTTTTACTATACATCTCATGCCCCGCATAGTGTGAGGACAGGTTAGATGGGGGTTGAGGTCAGGGAGCCTCCAAGTCTGAGGCCGGGCCCTGACACCGCTTTTATTGACACTAGGTTATTGTTCCTATTGTTCTTCCCATCAATAACCCCTCACCACTCATTGTTTGTTTGTTCATTCCTTGCTTCCAGTTCCCAGGCTCTTGTCCATTATTTAGTTTGACAATCCCTGCTCATTTCTGCACTGGACTGCGCTGGACCAACCGGCCCTTCTATATTATATCATGTAAATACTTTCAGGGACCTCAGTCTGAAATCAACTAGAGTACCCCCCCTGTTCTGGTCTGAGTCCCTCCATCTGCAAAGGGGGCTTCCCCCCCTCCAAGTCCGTGCTCCTCCTACAGGTCCGCTCCACCCACAAGTCTTGTTTGATGAGTATGCATGTCCCCTGACAGTGCTGTCACAAACAAGGACAGCATGATGGCCAGCAAAGGTATGGAGGGGAGTGTTGACCTGACCACAGGGTGTGGAGGGCAACCAGAAGCATCAGAGGTGAGTGGAGGTACAGATGCAGGCGGAGGTCCGGATGCAGGCAGAAGTCCAGATGCGGGCAGAGGTCTGGATGCAGTGCATGGCTGTGACCATATAGCGGAGTGATGGGTGTGGTTCAGATGGAGATGAGGCAAGGAAAACTAGAGGGACTGGATGCCAGGAGTGCCAAGGGCTCAGGAACTGGAGGTAAGGTGTCAGGGCACACCCACCTGACCCGGCTCCACCCGGCCCAACCTGACCCGGTACCCCGCCGGTCCACCCTTCCTTACCTCCTCCCCCTTTCCCTTCTTCCCCCCTCATCCTCCCCTCCTCAGTTTCTCCTTATCTTACTTCTCCTTTATTCTCCCTTTATTCTACATGGACGACTTTCTCTGTATCAATGTACAACTGACCCATCTGCAGCGCGCCCACCATGTACCCGGCCCGGGCACCTCGGGTGACTTCCCGCTGTGCCCAGCACGCGCGCCTGCACCGGATACCCTCGGGATCTCCCACGGAGACACCCGGGTGGTTACGGCTGTGTGCGAGGGTGACGTGGCACCTGTCATGTGATCCAAGCCGCATGTATATAAACGAACCTGAAGTGGGAACCGAAGAAGTAGCCTTCTTCTCAACTTTCCACTTCAGTCTAAGTGGCCAGGGACCACTGTCCCATATCGGGCCTGTCAGTACGCACGCCCGATCCGCCCCCCGCCAGGCTCTCGGTCCCGGACGCTATACCCGGACCCCCTCGACCCCGGACGAGTCCCTGACATAAGGTTGGGATGCCAGCAAGGTCCGGGGTCGGATTGTTGACCAAGTCTCACTCGATAGGACAGGGGCCCAAACAACCAGAAACAATCACAGAAAATTAGATAACAATCATACAACCTCCATGGACCAGAAATAAAAATAGCAATAAAATCATAACTCAACAAAATGAATTGAAATAAAATATCGGAAAAATACTGGAGAACAAAGTCGATGACCTGAGTATCTACGCAAACTTTCAAGTCCAGAGATCAGAAGATGGTCCAGAAAATGAAGAAAAACAGCAGATAAACCCACATAAAAACAAAAAAAAGGTTTCCTGTATCAAATAAAATATTAGAAATTCGTGGTAACATGGGAAAATAGTTTTACGAACATACGAAACGAATGACAATGAGAAATCGGAAGGAAACCAAGGAATTCACATAATGACAAACAGTTGGGTATGAGGAAAAGATGAAAGAATTGGAAATATTTATATGAGGAAAATAGGGAGAAATATTAATCTTTGTTTGTCTTAAATAGTTAAGTATAGGTCTGTGTACGGAAAGATTTCATGTTAGAATCTGAAGAATTGAGGGAGAAACAGATTTAACAAGATTAAAACACGCTTGCAGAGAAGACTGGCTCAAACATCCTGAGTTTATGGTAGAAACAAATGAGCTATAAATGCGAAACTAAAGAGTTCGAGTCCAGGAACGAGGCATAATTTATCCAGAATTAATTGTAAGAAAATGGATAAGCTAATGCCAAAGCAATCTGGAGAACCTCGAAATTAAATCTTGAAAAATTCATATCTTCATAATAATCCTCATAGTTTACTGTTGTTGATACCAACAGAAAGCTGCACCCTTAAGCTAACAAATAACCCCCATGACATGTGACTTAGAATAAAGTGAG